AGTCATAGCAGACTTCATCAGAGCAGCAGCCAGCTCAGTCCGAGCCTCAGCAGGCTCCACCCGAGCCTCAGCAGGCTCCTCAGTATTTGGTGGACATCATGGCTCCTCTCATTGCCCGGATGACAGCCATTGAGGAGTTTGTGACGACTCATATAACACCACGGACACCACCACCACCGGTAGCTCAGCAGCAGGGGATACCGACCGTTCCTGTCAGAGAGAGGCCCCCAGAGGTCACGCCTGCAGCCATTCCTTTAGCAGTCCCGGATAGGGCCACAGAGCAGGAGGCTTGGCTCCGCATGGTGGAGAGGTATCAGAAGATGAGGGCACTAGAGTTCCAGGGGTCACCAGACCCTCTTGCAGCCCATAAGTGGAAGGAGGATGTGAGCAATATTCTTGATATACTCGGTGTAGATTCAGTACAGAAGCAGAGGCTGGCATCCTACAGCCTGAAGGGAGATGTCGGGAGATGGTACCGATTTCAGTTTACTCCGGAGCAGAGGATGACCCTCACATGGGAGGATTTCATATACTTCTTTGATGGACAGTACATTTCTTCTGCAGCACGGACTGGGAAGGAGCTCGAGTTGTCCCGATTGACCCAGGGGGACATGTCAGTGGCGGATTTTGAGAGCCGGTTCATGGAGTTGCTACATTTCATGGGCATGTGGCAGACAGGAGAGCGTCAGGCTCAGATGTTCTTAGCAGGGCTTCGCCCTAATCTTCGATGGTACCTCGTGTCCAGGAGGTTTTATTCAGTTAGGGAGGTAGCTGAGGCTGCCACTTCTCAGGAGATTAAGACTACTATGTTCCAGAATGACAAGGAAGGGAAGGCCAAGACAGGACAGAGTGGGGATAAGAGTAAGAACAAGAGACCCTTTTCTAGACATCAGCAGCTGCATCAGGGCCCTTATAAAAAGGGACCCCAACAGGATCAGAGAGCGCATCAGCAGCGCAAGTTCCAGGGATCTTGTTTTAATTGTCATAAGGTCGGGCATAAGGCATCAGAGTGTCGTAGCGCACCAGCAGGAGCCTAACAGGGCAAGGGTCCGAACCAACAGCAGCAGCGCCAGCAGGGCAGAGGTCAGGGCCAGCAGAACAGGCTTGAGGCACCGTCAGCAGCTCAGAGGACTGAGGGACAGATTCAAGCAGTTCAGGAGGTTCCTCAGGGGCAGATTGTCCCATATTCTCCATCTCCAGCAGCAGAGCAGTCTTCAGCCACGGGCAGGGTTTATGCAGTAGTTCCCCGTGACCATGGAGCTAGCGGAGCAGTAGTGGAGGGTACGTTCTTTGTGAATTCCTTTCCCGCCCGTATTCTTTTCGATTCGGGAGCTTCGCATTCCTTCATATCGTATGCATTTATGGCTAGACTCCAGCTCGTAGCTCAGCCTCTAGACACCCCTTTATCTGTTTCCACCCCTTTAGGTGAGGTATCGCTTCTGGAGAGCGTTTGTAGGAGGTGTACCGTCAGTTTGGACGAGTCAGAGTTCATAGTTGATTTGATAGTGTTGCATATGTCCGAGTTCGATGTCATCCTTGGTATGGATTAGTTGTCTTCCTACCATATTAGTATTGACTGCTTTGCGAAGACAGTCAAGTTGCGAGCGTCCGACGGGTCCGAGATGATTGTAGCCACCTCTTAGGGCAACCAATTTGCGGAGTCATTTCTGGCGTACATCGAGGAGGTGATGCGACGGGATCAGGGTGCTGAGTTATTGGAGACTAGAGTTGTCTCGGAGTATCAGGATGTCTTTCAGGACATACCTGGATTGCCTCCAGTAAGAGAGGTAGAGTTCTGTATTGAGTTGCAGCCAGGCACAGCCCCGATATCCCGCGCACCCTATCGTATGGCACCAGCTGAGATGAGGGAGCTTCAGACCCAGTTGGACGAGTTGCTAGATCAGGGTTTTATTCGCAGGAGTCATTCTCCGTGGGGCGCACCGGTCCTCTTCGTGAATAAGAAGGATGGTAGTATGAGATTATGCATAGATTATAGAGAGTTGAACAATGTCACTATCCGGAATAGGTACCCACTACCTAGGATTGATGACTTGTTTGACCAGTTGCAGGAAGCGTAGTATTTCTCGAAGATTGATCTTCGTTCTGGCTATCATCAGCTGCGGGTTCGGGAGATGGATATTACCAAGACCGCTTTTCTTACTCGATTATGGGTCCTTCGAGTTCTTGGTCATGCCATTTGGGTTGACCAATGCACCCGCGGTATTCATGGATTTGATGAACCGGGTTTTCCGTCCCTTCTTAGATCAGTTTGTGATCGTCTTCATCGATGATATACTCATTTACTCGAGATCAGAGGCAGAACATGAGCAGCATCTACGAGTAGCTTTGAGGACTCTGCAGGAGCATCAGCTGTATGCTAAGTTCAGCAAGTGTGAGTTTTGGCTTTCAGAAGTCAGATTCCTTGGCCATGTCATCAGCAGAGAGGGCATAGCAGTGGACCCGACTAAGGTCACGGTAGTTCTTGATTGGGAGCCACTGAAGACGGTGACAGAGATTCGTAGCTTTTTGGGTTTAGCTGAATATTATAGGAAGTTCATTCAGGACTTCTCGAAGATTTCGATGCCTATTACACACCTTACTGTTTGGTTCAAAAGTCGCTGCTGTGGAATTCATTATAACTTTGTTCTATTACAACAAATTCGAAAGAATAATCTTTTTATAAGACTTTTGCTACACAACAAAACAAAAATTACAACTCTTGAGAAACAAACACGAAAATCGTCTATCAATTCTCGTTTTCGTGGGACTTTGCCTGTGCCGGGAACGCTTTGGTTCGTGGACCGCCGATTCACAGATCGTGAAGAGGGGGCTTATGATTCTAACTTCGTTATCGAAGTAGAAATTGAAACGATATCTTATCGAAGTAAGATAGTCGTTCTTCTTAAAATCAAGTCGAAGCTTAATTTCAAGGCGTTGCAAGAAAAGAACTCAAATCTCTGCTCTCTCTGCTCTGGAATGCTCTAACAAATGCTCGATCCTCGTCAGAAGTGACCCTAGGGGGGTATTTATAGCCTCAAGGGTCAGTAACTGCAAAAACTTAACAATCGAAGAAGTCAGTACGGCGAGACAGTGTTTACTGTCTCGCTGGGCGAGACAGCGTTTGCTGTCTCGACCCGCGAGACAGTAAATTTGCTGTCTCGCTCAGCGAGACAGTAAATGCTGTCTCGGAAAATGGCAGTTTCTCGCTGTAACTGTTCTTCCACGTTTCAAACTCCGTTATTTTGGCAGTTATCCACGTGATTTTCGCCCATGATGTTTCCCACGTCCCTTGGCAGTTAATGGACACGTGTAGGGCAGTTACAAATGTAGTTTTGACTATTTCAACACTGTCTCGCTGGCGAGACAGCAAAGACTGTCTCGCTGGCGAGACAGTTCATACTTGTTTTGATTTTTCCAAAACAGTATGAAATCCTTTCTTGTGAATTTTTGAGTGATCTTCTCTATGCTTGGGATATCTATTAGCATTTTTTGACGCCTACAGATACCCCCTCCAAAGTATTCCAGACTCATTCTTTTATAGAGGAGCATGGGATACTTTGGATAAGATAGATTTTACTTACGATCCCTTCAATGCTTGGCTGAATAGATCGTATGAAAGGACTTGTAAATGGCTTCAATGTTTAACCTCTTCTGCTGTTAGTCTATCCAGTTCTTCGTAGAATAGCTAACGTTCTCCCGGCGTCGCGTTTATCGCTTGACCGTTGTCGAGATCTTGAATTGAAGTTGATACTTGCTCTTGTGAATTCAGCGTTTACCATTGAATTGGTATATCCATTGAGAATTCCTCAGGTTATCCTTAAGAATATTCAGATTAATATTCTCCAGAAACTTCCTGTTGAGGGTGGGAATACAGTTTAGACTCGTGTACCCATTGGAGTATTCATTTGCATTACATTTGGCTTTTGACCCAGATAATATCTACTGTTTCATGGAGCGAAACAGAAGAGTTTGCTGTCTCACTGGGCGAGACAGTATTTTCTGTCTCGCTCAGCGAGACAGGATTTTCTGTCTCGCTCGGCGAGACAGAGTTTTCTGTCTCGCTCGGCGAGACAGAGTTTTCTGTCTCGCTCGGCGAGACAGAGTTTTCTGTCTCGCTCGGCGAGACAGAGTTTTCTGTCTCGCTCGGCGAGACAGAGTTTTCTGTCTCGCTCGGCGAGACAGAGTTTTCTGTCTCGTTCGGCGAGACAGAGTTTTCTGTCTCGCTCAGCGAGGCAGAGGCTATAAAAGTCGGGACTTAGGGTTTTAGGTTTTTTTTTTTTCACGTCGGATTTTGGCGATTTTTGAGCGATTTTCGAGCGATTTTCGACCAGTTCTTCACCTCTTCTTCTTCTCTTCGTCTCTGATTTGGGTGGTGCTTCGATTTGAAGAGATTTCACTTAGATTTTAAAGGTCTGTTCGCATCTTTTCTTCAAAATCTTGATTTTCTTCAACTGGGACTGTGCATGCATCGTTTCAGCCATATTTTGATCGATTTCATGCTTAAAATCTTGACTATTTTCATTGGATTTCCTTGTAGATCATTTGCTCGTCATGTCGCCGCGTAGAACTCGAGGAAAGGGAATCCGACCGACTGTTCAGAGCCCTGAGGAGGCTGCCCCTGCTGCGATCTCACGTGGAGGTATATTTCTTTCACCTTTTCACGAATTTAAATACTGTATTTCGTCAATTCCATATGTATGTTCCTATTTTTGCTTGCAGATCCTCGTTTGTATCCTTTGAGGTACCTTCGAGAAGAGCCGGTATCCTCCTTTGAGGGGATCGACGCTTAAAAGTGTTTGTTTTGCTTTGACAAAACACACTTCATAATACACAGGGGCGATTTTATATCATCCCATATGTATTGAAAGGTTTTGGTATGCCGTTATAATGCCCGCATACCTCCTTTATACATATGGTGGATAGAAAATCGTCACACCTGTTATGAGATAACGACTATATCTTATAGAATGAGATATACCGCTTTTCTCTAAAATTTTAGGATGACACTTACACAATTTATGTGTATGCCTCTTTTATCAGTCCGATTTCCTTCTACCACATTTACTGCTGATGTGGTTACTGGCCGGAGTAGCATGACCCACTCTTATTACGAGGGGATCCCGTTAATTGAATCCTCTCCCCAGTTTAAATCTGATTATAGTGGAAGTGATAGAGAATTAATCCAGCGAGGTAGTTGTCGTGTTCTACGACGATTAATCACAGATGCGCCCTTGATCTCGGAGCAAGACTCGAATCAATGCATAAGGAAGCCAGATTTCTTGTTTGGTGATTCGGTGAAAGATCCGAAGATTGCTTTCTGCCAGCCTGCGCAATGGTTGCACCAGAATGGGTCCTCATTCTTATATCTGCCTTTTATCCCTCGGGATCATTCACTGTTAATGTTCAGGAACCTATCAGTTGGACGAGAGATGTTCTGGAAATTAACCGAAAACCACGAGCACATTCATTGTGGTTTCATTGGAAAGGAAGCAACTCCAGGTTCCAGTGAAAGAGCTCATGTGAGAGGACTTCATCCGGGTGTCTTAGGACAAGACAATATTCCTCAGAACGAAAAGATAGTGCAAGCCAACACTGTGAAGAACCGGTTAGCGGCAGCAGGAAAAAGATTGCCCAGAGAGACTTTCAGGTGTTATGGATGGGTCCATTATTCTGGGAACAAGTGGTGGTGGACCAGGATGACCCAATATGTGTTGAAACGTTTTGGGCGAGAATTAGCAGGATTAGGGTTGGATGTCCCGATTCGTGCCACCATGCATGGCTTGCAGAGCAGTGTAAGTCATTTCCTTTGTTTGTTCGAGATCTACAACCCGGACACCAATACATTCTTTACCAAGAACGGGGAACTTGGACTACCACTGCATGAAATGATGCAAGTGTCTGCTTTGCCTATGGGCGATGTCCCATATCAAGAGTTCTTTCCGACCACCAATCAGCTGATTAAGATGAAAGATAGCTCGACTGCGACCTATGACACTCTATGGGAATTGACCTGTCATTATCATATAGCCATGGCCGAGATGGAGCCCAAAGCCAGAAAGAAGTCTCCTCAAGTCAGTTTAAAACAATTCGCTGATTATCTCTTCAAGAACCTGGATGTCCGTTCGGCAGATGTGTGCGGATTGTCTCCCTTGAGTACGGATGAAATTAACCGTTTGTTAGAGAAAACCAACGCGCATTCTTATACTTCGCGCTCAGAAGATGGATTTTTGCACGGCACTAAGTTCCGCTCTTATCTGTGGCAAGCTGGTGTTCCGATTAGCCCTACTGCTCTGCTGGCAGGTTTTCTAGCCTTATGGTTAAAGAGATGTGTAGTTCCCCATCAATCCGCAGATGCGATGCCAATGGAAGTGTTGTATCCGGCCGTCCAGCTGGCTACAGGTCGCAAATTATCTTTGCTTCCCGCTATGGTGGCCGATATTCATAGTGGATTGCGGCAACTAATCTCCGCATTTACCCAGGAGAAAAAGAAACCTTCCGCCAGCCTGTCCGTTCCGAAGCTGGAGCTGCCCTATACTTACTTAATGGCCTGGTTGGTACTTCATCGACCAGATTTAATGGAGGCTCCTGATACGGTAGATCTCAGTGTCCCTCTGTTGCAAAATCTCGAGAATTGCAAATGGAGCAAACATCGAGAGCCGGACATAACGAGGCAGTTTAAAATTCACAAATGTTGGGAATTTTTTCCTTGCTTCCCTCAGTTCTCCGGTACTTACAACACTACCTTAGTGGATGCTGAAGACCCAAGGCAGAATCGTACCATCTTGGATGTCGGGTGCTTCAGATGGTTGATGAATATTCGACCTGGATATCTGTTGTTCAGGATAAGGGATGTTTGCCACATCGAACCCTATCTTCCATGTCGATTCGCCCGTCAGTTCGGGTATGATCAGATATACATCGGCAACCCGAATCGTCACCTCAGCTTTCGAGGTGGACTTATCGACGGGGCGAGAGCTTGGTTTTGGAGCATTGCCGGCTGCACCAATGTTGAATTTGATCTCCCCTTAGAGACGCCGCCTCTACGGATGACTTTCCTCTTTTGTAAATGGCTGATAGCCACCAATATTGTCACTCGACGTAGGAGGATATCAGACTCAGAGGAAGAAATAGCTCCACGGCAAGCAGCAGAACTGCCTCGCGAAGCTGTGATGTCGCCTCGAGGAAAAGAGGCTGCTGAATCATCAAGGAAAGGAAAGGAACCGGCTCGCTCAGTCGGTAGTGAAGAAGAATTTGACTCTGAGGAGACGGAGACTTCCGAGGAGGCGGGTGAGACTAGCTCAAGTTCTGATGAAAGAGCGGGTCTTTCTGATTCTTTCTTTGAAAGAGGACTTGTGTGCCCATCTGTTGCTCCTACTCAATCACAAGCTACTTCGAGAAAACGGGGAGAGAGGGTCGTCATGACCTATCCTAATCGGATGACGGTAGACATTCTCAGTGGGGACGAAGAGGATGAAGAGGATGAAGTGCCTCTTGCTCGTCGACAAAGATCACGACCTTCCACTCAAGCTCAAACCCAAATTCCTCCTCGAACTGAATTACGCACCAAACGTCGTCACGAAGGTCCTGAAGCACATCCACCGAAGAAACAAAAGAAAGCTGCTTCTAAACCGCGCGTTCATCTTTCTGCCGTAGAAGATATCTCTGGTCGTAATGTTTCTTCTGATGAACTAGGTAATTATTTATTTTTATCTCTCTTACATTTTTTTTTAATGCTCGAACTCATTTCATTTCCAATTTCTGTAGAGAGTCAAGAAGAGGGAGAATATCGAGTTGGAGCTGCTTCTCCTGGAGGTATGGAGACTGAGGAGACCAGCTTCGTCCAGCAAATGCAAGATGTTCTGAAAGAAGGACCAGCTGACGTTCCACCCACTCCTGACGTTGATCCATCAGCTGCGGACACAGGTACTGATCTTTCTCCTCTCGGAAGAGAAATCCGAGAAATGAATGAGTCGGACCGTGTGCCTCCTCTAATGACCTGTGCGCTTTCTCTCCTTTTAGTCAAATTAAAAGAAGCAGGTACCAGTAGTGGAGCTCTCGAATCAGCCCCGACCAACGAAGGTAAAATTAATTGTCTTTTTGAGCAAATTCGTCTAAATTTATGTGTCATTTACGACTCAACACATTTTGTAGATGTCACAATGCACGAATCTGTTGGAGGAGAGACCACGCATACAACAGAGGTCGAGGAATTCAATGAACATCACCTCGATTTCAATCTCTCTGAAGGCGACCATGAGTATATCTCCGACTTACTATCGGGGAAAACTCCTGGTGCAGCCACGGAATCCAACGTTGGAGTCGGTCCAACAGAAGCAGGTCCTTCTGAAAGTAAGACCTTTATTCTGTAAACTCCATATATGCATACATATATATTTTAACTTGATTAACCATATAAGTATTTGAATTATAGGACCAGTTGCTGGAACTGATACTACTATAATCATTGGTACGTCTGATCGACTGGAGAGTAGTGAACTTGTGCCGTGGACAAGAACCGAAGTTGATTTGCAATCATCAGTTCTTGAACCTCAACCTTCTACTCCTATGGACCCCATGATGATAGAAGTCACTGTCACTCCCCAGATTAGTCCAGTTGCAACAAAAGCGAGACCAACTGAAGAAGTTGGTACATCGGCCGATGTTGTGACTAGAATTGGTGAGTTTCATTTATCGTTTGTTTCAAGCTCGGATTATCATTATGCTCATTGTAATCCTCCTGTTTGTAGAATCTCCTCTTAAAGAGTCTCTTAGTTTGGACCCGCCGTCCTCTGAGACTTTAGTTGAAAAAGTCCCTGATGTAGCGGGTGCATCAACAGCTACCATTCCTGAACCAATCTTGACTGTTCAGGAATCCAGATTATCATCCTTGAGCGAACCAAGTCATGCTGAAGGTTCTTCCGTCGAATTTGGTATGCTTTAGTTTGTTGTCTTGTATGCATATATATATACTGTACTGACTTATTTGACTTTCTCGCAGTTCCTTCATCATTATCAACTCAAATCCAAGCGTTATTGGTTGATGACGATCCGGACAAGTCTGTTATCTGCTCTAATCTCCAAGGCTTCATCTCCTTTTTGAACTCTATGGTCGATCGCATTCTCTTCAAAAGATCGTATTTTGAGAATTATAAAAAATCTTTTGAGCGTTTTATATCAGGGTTCAGAGAGGAAGGGTATAACGACTTAGCCGATTCAGTCACCGCTTATTTGGTTGATTTGAGGCAACATATTGAACTTCTGCAAACTCTTCGCACCAAAGGCGTACCTTTTTACATCGCTTCTCATATGGAATCCAGGCTGCAAGCGTGGCGTAATTCTCAAGAATCTGCCAACTCTGAACTCCAACAATTAAGAGCCCATAGTCACCAGCTTAGGGTGAATATTGGCAAAAGGACACAAGCCAAGGTCAACCTACGCCGAGATATAAAATCGAGTCGAGCGGAAATAGCTCGCTTAGAGGAGGAACTTGCAATGGCCAAGGATGCTCTTGATGTCTTGGAGTCTGAGTTGACGCAGGAAATTCATGTTGAGGAAGACCTGTTACAGCAACTGAACTTTCAAGATAAAATAATTGCTGAGAAGGAACAAGAGGTCGCCGCGCTTCAAAGTGTTGATGAAGAAGCTTTCAAAATTAAATTGACGGCTGAGCTTGAACAGACTTATGCGTTAGAGCTGTCAAAACTTGAAAATCAAATTAGTCAATATAAACTCTTGTAATCGGAGAACATTATATTTTTGTTTGTAGCTTTGTTTGAAAATTCTTGGTCAATATAGTGAACCTTTTTGCTCATTATATTGAATCTTTTTGCTCATTGAGGTTTTTTATTATGATTACTCATTCTTATTTAGAATAAATAACCATAATACTTATAGGATTTTTGGCAAATCCTCAGCCATCAACGGATTTGATATACCTTTACCGATTACCGTTTGAATCGGGCTAGTATGTGAATTATCTAAGTCCGTTTCACATATAACGTTGCGCTAAAAGAATTAAACTCTTTTAGACTTTGAACTACACTGTTGAATATGTAGGCTACATGTGTTAGATGTAGGCTTATCTCTAATAAGGGATAGAGATAACATCCCCCATGTGTGAACAACATGGATTTCAAAGTGTGAATAGGTTGCATTTCCTATATAGGACAACGAACCCAAAATCGGAGAGAAAAAGAATTGTATATTCCATTTCTCAATCTCTTGTTTGTTGGTAGAGATAAACCCATACTCGGAGAGGAAGAATTTTATATTCTATCTCCTGGTCTCTTGTTTGTTGGTAGAGATGAACCCAGAATCGGAGAGGAAGAATTTTATATTCTATCTCCTGGTCTCTTGTTTGTTGGTAGAGATAAACCCAGAATCGGAGAGGGAGAATTTTATATTCTATCTCCTGATGAAAAGGAAACTCACAGTGGAATCTCCACTTAGAGAAAATAGGTTGGTTTGAATAACCCTAACTGTCATAAGGTTTGATTACTCAATTCAAAAGTAAACCTTTCGTTCGCAAAAATGAATCGAAAGGAGATTTTGGTTGTGGTCCTAACTGTAGTAAGGTTTGACCAAGTGGGAATTTTGAGACGATCCTAACTGTAGGAAGGTTTGATCGCTCAATTTGTGGACCTCTCGTTCATGGAACGAATCGAGAGGGGATTTTGGCTTTGGTCCTAACTGTTTAAAGGTTTGACCAAGTGAGGAATAGGAGTAGGGTGCAAATAACAATGAGTTTGTTGATTTGCACAAACTAATCGGTGGGAAATTTTGATTTTAAACATAAGAATTTGACACGAAATAATCTGTCGACTGATACATACTGATGATCGTTGATCAATCCGACCGATGGGGGTTTCATAGCGTGAGATTACAAATCATCAAATCTCATCTTCCATGATTATATTACAAGGTTTTGCTGAGGAAAGATTAACTATCATTAAATCTCATCTCAACAAAAGTTGTAAAAGAACAGTGAATTATTCAAATGACCAGCTTCTCATTTAAAATAGTGAACTGATCTCGGGTTATCCTGAAATATCCTATATAGGATTCTCTAGGAACTTCCCGCTTTACACAGGTTATCCTGAATATATTACGGATAATATTTTTTCAGGAACTTCCCATTTATTGGCATCATCAATTTGTTGCCATCTTGGGTAACCAGGCGATATGCACCGTTCGAATAGACTGTTTCTATCACAAACGGTCCTTCCCATTTAGGTTCAAATTTGCCTTTCTTCTTAGAAGTGAGAATCATAGGTCTTCGAACGGCGAGAACTAGATCTCCTTCTTTAAAGCTTCGTCGTCGGACCTTTTTATCGAAAGCCCGAGAAATTCTAGCTTGATAAAACTCGATTTGTTGTTGAGCTTCCAAGCGTTTCTCATCTAACATCTCTAATTCCTCGAGACGTTTCTGATGATGTTCTTCCGTCGTCATTCCCGTTACGAGAGCGATACGGAGAGAAGGAATCTGCACTTCCAATGGAAGAACGGCTTCACACCCATACGTTAAAGCATACGGGGTGGCTCCGGTAGGCGTGCGGACGGTCGTACGATAAGCCCAGAGAGCTTCGCCGAGTTTGTCATCCCAATCTCGCTTATTGGTTTTCACCAATTTTGCCAGGATTTTGATGATAGTCTTGTTAAAAGCTTCGGCCAATCCGTTAGCTGTAGGATTATAAGCAGTCGACGAAACGTCTTTAATCCCGAATTTACCGCAGAACTTGATGAATGCGTTGCTCACGAACTGAGGACCGTTGTCGTGCACTATTCGCCTTGGCACACCGTACCGATATATGATATGGTGTTTGATAAATTTGATGACATTGGTCGTCTTTACTTCTCTAAGTGGAACTGCTTCTGCCCATTTCGAGAAATAATCGGTGATTGCCAGAATGAAACGGTCCCCTTTAACCGAAGGTGGAAAAATAGGACCTACTATATCCATTCCCCAAGTTTCAAACGGCCACGATGTCGCCGAAGGATGCAGATATTCAGGGGGTATGTGCATATAATTTGCATGCAATTGACACACTACACATTGTCGTGCGTAATCGACTGCGTCTTTCACCATAGTTGGCCAATAATATCCGATTCTCCTAAGTCGGTCGCAGAGTTTAGGACCGGGCTGATGTGCACCGCATATCCCATTATGTGCCTCTTTGAGTGCTTGTTCCGCTTCTTTACTGGATAGACAACGAAGTAAAAGACCATCATAAGCTCGTCGATACAACGTTTGCGATGTGGCATTGTAATAAAATCTCGGCGCTCTTCGCCGAATCGATTCCCTTTCTCTTACATCTTCAGGTAATATACCATGTAAGACGTAGTCAATAATAGGAAAACGCCAATCTCGAACTTCGGGTTCAACTCCAGTTGAGTATACCTCTTTAGCATTCGAATCGTAGATTGGAACAATAAGCTGATGAGTCCTCACTGTAATTAATTGCTCTGTTTCGGGAGGTTGAGCCAAGGATACTGACAATGCTGCCAATGCATCCGCGTATGTATTTTGGAGACGCGGAACGTACTCGATGAAAAATTCTTCAAACGAGCTTGCTATTTCGATGGCCACCTGGTGGTATGGAATCAGGTCTCGATTTCTGACTTCATACTCTCCTCGTATTTGATTAACCACCAGTTGAGAATCTCCAAAAGCTTCAAGGTATTCGACCCCCAGCTCTTTGGCGAAATTAAGTCCGATTATTAATGCATTGTATTCAGCTACGTTATTAGAGCATGGTTCAGTCAGTGAATATGCTCTAGGCAAGACGTGCTTTTCCGGGGAAACTAAAACGACCCCCACTCCTGAGGAGATTTTAGAACATCCGGGTGCACTTGCCACGTTGGTTGATCGGGAAGCCCCATCGAAGTACAATTGCCACACTTGTTGATGTGAGGTGGTATTAACTTCGTGAGTTTCATCTGGCAGGTCGTCGTACAATTCGACTACATCCTTCGTAGGGTTTTCTGCCAGAAGGTCGCAAATAGCTCGTCCTTTAACAGATTTCTGCTGTTTGAAGTACAAGTCATATTGCGATAAGAGTAAAGCCCATCTGGCCAAACGCCAATTCATGGAAGCCGGTTGGGTCATGAACACTCGGACGGGATTTATGTTGGAAATGACATAAATCGTCTGTCCGACTAAATAATGTCGCATTTTCTGAATCGCGAATACCAAAGCGAGGCATTCCTTCTCAATCATCGGATAACGAGACTCAGCTCCTACCAATGTACGACTCAGATAATACACAGCTTGCTCGTGACCGTTATCGTCGTCTTGTGCAAGTAAGGCACTTAACGAATGGCTCGTCGCTTTGACATAAATCAAAAACGGCTTGCCCGATTTCGGTGCAACGAGAATAGGTGGATTCGCTAGATATTTCTTGATATCTTCGAATGCCTTCTGACATGCTTCATCCCAAATGAACGACACGCCTTTCTTTGCGAGTTTGGAAAACGGTTGACATTTTCCGGACAAGTTCGATATAAACCGACGGATATATGCTAATCGACCTTGCAATCCTCTGAGTTCTTTAAGATTTCTTGGAGGCTGCAGTTCGTTTATCGCCTTCACCTTATCAGGATCAATATGAATACCTTTTGTGGTGACGACGAACCCAAGAAATTTACCGCTCGACATTCCAAGGAAGGATTTAGTCGGGTTCATCTTTAACTGATGAGTTCTCATAAGTTCGAACATTGTCTTCAGATCGTTAATGTGGTCGTTTTTATCACGACTCTTAACGACTAGGTCATCAACGTAGCATTCGACTGTCTTCCTAAGGTGTTCTTGAAAGATCTTCGTCATCGCCCGTTGATACGTAGCACCGGCGTTCTTCAAACCGAAAGGCATAACGGTATAACAAAAGACGCCAAGAGGTGTTCTGAAAGCTGTATGCTTTTCATCATCCGGATGCATCTTGATTTGATTATACCCAGAAAATCCATCCATGAACGACATTCTTTCAAACCCGCATGTGTTGTCGATAATGACGTCCGTAATCGGTAGGGGAAAATCATCCTTGGGGCATGCTGTATTCAGATCTCTGAAGTCAATACAGATTCTGATTTTTCCGTTCTTTTTGAGGACTGGAACGATATTGGCCAACCATTCAGGATGTTGTTCCTCTCTGACAAAACCCGAGTCAATTAGCTTCTTAACTTCAGCTTCTATTGCCTCCATAATTTGCGGACGAAACCGTCTTTGTTGTTGCTTGACAGGTTTAGCATCCGATTTTATGTTAAGGGTATGCATGATTTCGTGATTTTTCACCTATTTCGGAATATTCGGGACCCAATTTTATATTTTGGGTGATTTCGCGATACTTTCGCCTTTTATCGGAATATTCGATACCCGAAACTCCAACGGGTACATGAGTCTAAACTGTTCCCCATTTTGACAGGAAGTTCCTAGAGAATATTACAAATAATAATTCTTAAGGATAACCTGGCAACCTCCGGCGGGTACACGAGGTTAAACTGATTCCCGAAACTCCCAGGAGTACACGAGTATAAACTGGTTCTCCTCAGGTTAACGTGAAACCCTAAGGTCAACGCCGGTCAACGCGTAGCCCTAGGTCAACGCCAGTCAACGCGTTGCGTGAAAGTCAACGTCGATCGATTCGAAACCCTAAGGTCAACGCCGGTCAACGCGTAGCCCTAGGTCAACGCCAGTCAACACGTTGCAATTGATCCAAAAGTCAACTCAATGACATATCAATAAAAAAACCCACTCACCAATTCCGGTTCAAGGCTTCAACAACGGTCAGACGATAAACGCAGTACCGAGAAAATCTTAGCTATTCGACAAAATACAGAATACGCTAAAATATGGAGAAGTCAAGAA